TATGATTCAGTTCACAATTTCGAAAATATGAAGGCATTAAAAAGACGTCTCCTTCAACACTTCCCGCTCGCCTACGAAGGTTCGTGCTGTAAACTTAAACCAGGCATAACTAGTCAGATAAAATTATGGAGTCAACTCTGCTTCAATGATTGCTACCCAGAGTTCCTTTCGGTCCAGTCGCGTAGGCTTGAGTTGGTCGACGACAACGTTTTTTGAATTGACTGTAAACAAAAAATTGTTTCAGAGAACCCCACTAAACATTAGTGTACATCTTCTACTTGAACTGCCCGTGGTTGGGTGTGTAAACGTTAAGTGGAATTAAGATATACAGCGCTAAATACAATTCTTTTCCACACTTTTCGCGCTAGGCTGCTACCGGTTGCTGCCTCTTCAGCAATGGGAATGTCCGTGGTAGGATGTAAACAATTAGTAATAGAGATGCATCAACTTTAACTTAGTTAATCTTAAAGATGAAAACTCGTGTGGCCATGCTTTCTACCACATTTATTCTTGGAAATGGAAATTCCATTTTCTTTAGTAGGAGGACGAAAAAAAACATATCTCCATAAAAACGCACCAAACTGGCTTCAAAATCAAAATCAAATTCAAAATTCTTCAAAAACATCAAAGATACAACAAGCTATCAAGGAATGTGGTTGGTATTCTTAAAACTACTTTATTTACACGCTAAGAAATATTACCGTTAATATTCAAATACTGAAACACAACAGAGCAATAGATTGGGCTGTCTGTTGCAAAATGCCCTTCATCACGTTAAATAGTTCCACAAGCTTCGTTTCAACACCACAGCAACACCATTGCTAGACTATTGATTTTTCACGAACTATTCTTAGAACCTTTTTGCGTCTTTTCACTAGTCGGCAAAACCTAGTCATTACATATATTTCTACAAAGGTATTAGTTTTTCATTGATAACAAATAATAATACTTGATATATTTATACAGGGTCTTGGGGGTATGGCGAAACAAGACAAGGAGGTAATGTAAAGTCATTATCCACACTGCATGTGTTACCTTTTGGTAGTTAAGTTCACAGGCGGCAGCCCAATCTCTTGTTCTGTGGTGTCGTAATATTTGAATATTTAAATAAAAGTATAAATTCTTGATATACACTTGTAGTAATATAGTTGTTCAGATGTTTCATTCTGTGTTATAGTTAATGCGATTCAGAGGTCTGCGAGCAACTCATGGGTTCTGAGGCCGTAAGGTGTACTTCTTTTAGTCGCCTGGTGACTTGTGATGAAATATTGAATCAATTGATAAAGAGCTTTTGAAAACCTTCAAATCAAAGAATAGCAGTAAATTAACATAAGTTTTAAGCGTAAAACAGCGGTTTTGGATTAAATAAATTAAATAACCTTGAAAATGTTATATTTATTGAAATAACGAAAAATACATCAAAATATGTACAAAAATAGATAGAAACAGACAATACCAAATCCGCATCGTATAAAAGCATAACGCCCTTCCTCCTAAAGATAGACAAAACCAATTAGTTGGCTATCCATCCAAC